CCGCGCGCCCGTCGTTCGCGCCGTGGCCATGGCCGCGCGCCTCGCGGGCTCTGCGCGCCGCTGCCTACTGGCGCTCGTGCTGTGCTGCGCCTGGGGCACGCTGACCGCCGTTGCCTCGAAGCCGGGCTCAGGGTGCCCGAGCCGCTGCTTGTGCTTCCGCACCACTGTGCGCTGCATGCATCTGCTGCTGGAGGCCGTGCCCGCCGTGGCGCCTCAGACCTCCATTCTGTGAGTGCGCGGGCCCGAGGGGCGCGGGAGCCCCAGGTGGGGGAGGCTGGAACGCAGGGGGTGCAGGGAGACCAAGGGCCACAGAATCCTGGGGTAACTGGGATTCAAGGAGAAGCGTGGGGGGAGGGAGGCCGCGGGGACTAAGGGGCACCGGAGCCTGGGGGCGGCTGGGGTGCAGAGAGGTCTTGGGCGTGCGTATTTGGGGTGCTGTGGGTCAAGGGGCTCCAGGAACCTGGGGGAGGTCTAGGGCGCAGAGGGAGGCGGGGCTCATGCGGTGCTTGGAGACTCAAGGGCGCCAGAGGCTCGGGTCTGCTGGGACCTGGGACCCTGGCTGGCAGACGTGGGGGATCCGGGCCTTTGTCCGCCCTGGCCAGGACGCAGAGGGGCGGACCCGAGTGAGCGCGCGGACCCGAGATCCGCCTTTGTTGGGAGCTTGACGTCCCTGGCAGGACTGGGCAGTCGCTGGGGGCTTCGCGGAAAGCACCGCTGTCCTACACTCCCTCCTCTCACAGGCCCCTTTTTCCCCCAGCTCTGTGTTCCCCTCTCCCCGGGTCTCCCCCCGCCCCCGCCCCCGCCCCCTGCTCCAGCGAGGGCCCCGGGCTTTACTCAGCTCCGGTCTCCCCTCCCAGCCTGGCCTCCCGGCTTCCCTTTTTCCTCCCTGCGCCCTGGAACCTCCCTCACCAGCCTCATCTCCCGCCCCGCGGCGCCCCCAGCCGGGATCCCCGCATCTGCCAGGGCGCGGGGCCTCCTGTCCGTAGGGTTTCCAGGGGCCCAGCTTCGGGAACCGAGCTCTGCTCAGCCGGGAGGAGAGGCACAGCGGCGTCGGCCAGGAGCGCGTCACTCCCTCCAGCGCCGAACCGGCGGCGGGGTTCGCTGGCCCTTGAGCAGGATTCGCTCGGCACTTAGGCGTTCGTCGCTTCCACTGAGCAGATATAATGTATCGCACATGCTACCCGCCTGTCCCCAGGCCGCGGACTCCACGCCATGCTCCCCGCCACAGGGATCCATTCTTCTTCACGCAGCCGGTGCTCGGGGACCCCTGGCCAACAGACTTGAAAATAAAAAGTGCAAATTCAGTGGAGGCTGGCATGCGTTTAGGACTCTCGATCCGCGTCTTGCAGTTGCCTTTCTGCATGTCGCTTCTCCTGGCGGGACCGAGGACATTTGGCACCGTAGAAGGCACTGCAAAAGTTATAAAATTGGGAGTGAACTGTTCAGGAAATGGGAGATTTCTAAAACTAAGCGCCCCGCACCACAGCCCACCTCTAGCGATCACCCTGTGCAGGTCGGGTTGTGCAGGTTGGGAGCCCGGGGCTGGGTTTATGCCCAGCCTGCAATGGTGCCCTCAGAGAGCCAGGCAAAGTTTTCCTCCCAGAGGTGTTAGGTGTTGAGCCGAGGTTGGCCTCTCAGAAGGCGTCTCGCCAAAATGGACTGCACGAGGTCCCCCAAGTGTGGATAATCAATTCCTTAGTGAGTCGGTGGAAAACAGGCCATTTCTCACATCTGGTCAAAGCCTAACACGTTAGCCATGTTTTGGTTTCAGATCTTAATTGCTTTTGAAAAAGAACAGTACTGCAAAGTGAGCCCTGTAGAACAAAAAGGAGGGTGTGCCCCGCCCTCGGTCCTGTCCCCACCCCCACCCCTGCTGGCCCCAAAAATGTGACCTAGGGTGTATAATGGAGGTGAGAGGGACCGGCGACCTCCTACCCAGTCCACACTCCAGAACTCCCTGAAAAGTGAATTTCTTGACACATGCGCATGGCTTTGGAGTTTTCAGAAACGCTTTGAAATGACAGCACTTGGTGTCCCTGATTGAGGAGTAGGATTGAAACCCCAGGGAACTAAGAAGCTTCTGGGTGAAGTGATGGACCCCCCCACACACACACCACCGTGGGAATACAGGAAGGGTGACACCATGTTCAGCGCCCTGTGGCCAGGGCTGTGGGCACAAGGGCACAGCACGGGGTTGGGAGCCAGAACGTGGGCTGGAGTTCGATTAGTGAGCTGGGTCCCCCTCCCCAGTGTGAGTGTGTCGCTGTGCGGACAGAGGCTGTGTGTAGCTGTGGTGGTTGTAGGAAAAAAGAGGAACCCGTTACCTGGGAAAGAGGGTGACCTCTTCTGTGTCTCTGGGAGTCTAGGCTGGCGTGGATGGGGCTGCTCAATGGGATGTAGTCCTATGCAGAAGCATTCAGTGCTTACTTTCTGCTTTGCTGACGGCTCTTTTTCTCTTGCACATGTTGTTAGTTTTTAATTTTTTAAAAAAAAATTCTTTTGGTAAAAATTGATGAATGCTGAACTGGTTTGGTGGTGCACACTGTAAATCCAGCACTCAGAAGGCAGAGGCGGGAGGAGCCCTACAGGTGGGAGGCCAGGCTGGGCTACATAGTGATTTCGAGGCCACCCTGAACTACACAGGAGACCAGTCTCAAAAACAAACACACAAAAAAGTTGATGAAGCTAGAGGACAGGCACAAGAGGAACTAGCTAGCCCCAAAGCCCTTAGGGCTAGGACGCTGTCAGGGTTTCCCTTCACTTTTACAACCATCACCTCTGCCCCAGAATTGAATCAGGATTTCCCGGAAGGCCATCAAGCTCTGAGTGGTTTGGGCCACACCTAGTCCCAGATTGTCATGATTTGTGGTCTGAGGCTTCGGACTGTCGCCCGACAGTCCTGGTGAGAGACCAGGCTCCCTGTGATCCAGGCTTCCTGTGCTGTGAGCTCACCCTGCTGTCCTTCCCTCCTCGCAGCAGGAGTTGGTCACCCTGATAATGAGATCGAAAGAGATAGTGCCTTTGTTCCCGGCCCCTTTCCTCTTCCACCTCAGCCTTTTTGGGGAAAGCAACTTTTAAACAGCTCTGAGTCCTGCTGGTCTCAGGACCTCTTCCCTTAGGCCCCACCCCTTCCTCCTCCCGGAGCGGCCAGTGAGGTCCGGGGAATCCACCCTGCACAGCTCACAACCACCAGGCAGTGCCCGCCTCTGCAAAGCCCGGAGTTGTTCCAAACCAAGCCAATGTGGCAGAAACCCGGGCACGTGTGGGGTGGCGAGACAGGAAGGTGGCGCTGCAGGGACCGGGCACCAGTCCCAGTGAGGCCACCTGTCTGCTGGACAGCTGTTCTGGATTCTCCAGCTCTCTGTGTGTAGGGCCTGTGGAGTATTCAAAACCAAAAAGATCCAATGCCGGGTGTGGTGGCACATGCATGTCTATGATCCCAGCACTCTGGGAGGCTGAGATGGGAGGATCATAAGTTCGAGTTCGACCTGGGGAACTTGGTGACTTAGAAAGACCCTGTCTCAAAATAAAAAGTAAAAAGGGCTGGGGATGGAGCTCAGTGTGAAGGCCTTGGGTTCAGTCCCCAGTTTGAGTCCTTGCTTTGTGTGAAATAAATCACTGCTTTTCTTTCTCTTCTCCTGGTACTGGTGATCCAGTCCAGGGCCTTTACACTGAGCTACATACATGACCAGCCCCTTTTTAGACTTTTTGTTTTTGTTTTCAGTTTTGAGACAGAATCTCACTAAGTAGCTTAGATGGGGTTTGAATTTGGGATCCTCCTGCCTCAGCCTCCCAGAGTGCTGGGTTTTGCTTTACTTTTAAATTAACTGCTGTGATGAAATTAAAGATTTTGTTATCACAGCTCCAATAATTTAAACAGTGTCACAGGAATATTTGTAAATGACTTGGATGTTGATTGTTTATCTTAGTGTGATGGTGGATGGACCCAGTATTTTCTCCCCCACCTCATGGCTCTGGGACTTCTCTGAGGAATGGGGGCTTCCCCAAGGCACTGCCTTGCCTTGGGGCCCTACACCCCCACTTCTGGCCGAGTCTGGAAACACCCACCTGAGGACCCACGGCGGCTAAACTCTCTCCTGCTTTTTAGAACTCTCCCTCCTGTGTTTTCCTACATCAAGGAAATAGCACCAAAGAGAATCTGTCAGTCTTAGTGGTTCTGAAGCCTGGCTGATGTAGGTCTGGATGGATCCAGTGTTATGTGGTTCTCTCCTCCCAACCCCCCACCTGGCTTTCCTCAGTGTTATTGGACGCAGTTTCCTCACTTGGTGACAAGCGGCATCTGCAGTCATTCCTCCCCATGCAGCGGGAAGAGGAGGCACCAGCGCTGGGTAGTTTGGGCAACTCTTTTTGAGACAGTGTCTTCCTAAGTCTAGGCTGGCCAACTTGCTATGCAGGCCAGGCTGGCCTAAAACTCTGGATCTTCCTGCCTCAGCCTCCTGAGGCAATCTTATCATCACCCCTAGCTGGCCCCTTGTCTGGGGGCCAGCCAGCCCTTGTTCAGCAGTGGGTCCAGAGGCCGTGCCCGTGCCTGTGCCGGTGCTGTGGCTGAAGTCTGCCCCGCCCTAGTTTATTGCCAGAGTTGTCGAGGGCTCCTCGCCAAGGACCTGGGACATTTATCAGATTTATCAGAAGATAAGGAGGTCAGGCAAGCAGGGCGAGGAGAGCTGGCCCTTCACGGATTCCAGTTGCACCATTAAAAATGCAAACAAAACAGAAACAAAATCCAGGGTGACCTCAGTAATTATAAAACAAGTAAAAGCTGAAAGTGCCCCATGCATTGTGCTGATTCCCATAGGCTGCTCAGAAGTTTCTCCATCTCCGAGTGGAAACATCAGGCTTTTTCTTTTGCACTTGACAATAACAAGAAACTAAAGTAGACTTGAGTGTGTAACTGTGGCACTCTCGGGTCAGGACTCAGGGCTGGAGACCTGGACATATTTTAGGGTTCAGGAACTCTTTGCCCCTCCTACTTACTGCATGGAACAGGTCTTCTGTTCAGATAGGAGGTCTCTTGTAGTCCACAATGTCTGGGTCACTGGATTATTTTAGCAGTTACTCATGTACTTTTAGGGTACAGGAAAAAATGTGATTTATTTAAAAGTAGGTTCTTTGGTGAATTCAATTCAGGAGCAGTTAGATTTTACTGCAGTGTGTAAATAGTTACAGCATTTTGTGTGGGTGGGCCGGGTGACTCCAGAGTCAGGGAC